GGAGCCAGCTGCAGGAGGCACCGTATATTTCCCGTATGTAATGCGCACCCGCGTTTTGTGCGCATTATACACGGGGTTCTTATGCCCATGGATAGTGCGTGTCCTTGTTTTCCCCTCAAAACTTTGGGCAAATACACTGCGCATTGTACATGGCAAAATACATGGTAGCCTCAGAGCAGTGCCTTAAAGGAAGAACGTAGGTACAGAGCAGGGAGCATGAGCAAGACAGGGAGGCAGGAAAGGGCAAAGCAGGACGGGGAACAGGGAGGGGTCCGTGCAGTGCTGACTGCAATAGGGGGCAAAGCCAGGAAGGGCAGTGGGATCACCTGCCGGGGCCTGAACACTGAGTTGCGGCGGGTGGGTCGATCTCCTGCAGATGCCCGTTGCGTCCCCGCTGCCTGCACCGGGGCCAGGCCGGCCTCCCCAGCTCCTGCCCTCCCAGCACCTCCCCAACCCCTTCTGCTCTGTAAAGCCCGGTGACCGCCCCTCCTCTGAACATCACAAGCACGAGACTATACGTCATCTTCTATAGCCCATCTATATCCCCCGAGCTCCACTAGGGTGGGGACCGTGTTTTATAAATGGTGGTACCCCGCCTCCTAACTATCCAGGGCCTGGAGTAGCTGTGAACGAGGCCTCCAGCCGCCTTCCCGTGGGCCCTTCCGCCTGTGCCGCTCACTCCTCCCCTGCCCTCTGCCCTCTGCCCCCTGACAGGGCATCCTCCACGCGATCACATCCACCCAGCTCACCGGGGGGATGTGCAGCGCCTCCCTGTAAAACACCTGGACATCCCAGTAGCGGAACAGGTTGCAGACTGAGCGAAGCAGCTGGATCAGCCAGAAGGCTGCAGCGAGGATCAGAAGGAAGACCAGCAGGGGGCTTGAGCGGATCCTGGGGGCAGAGGTAACAGAGAGAAAGTGGGACCCCCATCGAGAGGGAGACGGGTCATGGGGAGTAATGGTAAAATCATGGAGGGGATCCAGCAAGACCAGAGCTTCTCAAAGCGTGGGGTGTGTGAGGGTCCTCGGGACCCTTGCAGATGTCTGCAAGGTCAAAACTCTTTTCAGATGATACTAATGCTTCTGCCATTTTTATTCTCATTCTCTCCTGGACGTACAGTAGAGTTGTCCAGAGGCTACGTGGTATCACATGGACAGCCAATGGAATGTGTGCTCTTAGGTTTTGCAAAGGTCTTCCGCTTTACTCTCTAATAAGGCGTGATTCTCATAAACAAAAGCTCTTGGGTTCTCAATCAGTTTTAAGTCTGTAAAAGCTATCCTGAGACCCAAACCTTGGAGAACCAATGCTCTAGCCCAAGGACAAAAGGTGGGTGACTCTTGTCTGCCAGTCTCCCCCACCTGCTCCCCCCACCAGCTGTCACTCACCGCTGAGCACACTGGGAGGAGGGAAAGATGGCATCTGACAAAGTCACTTTGCTGTGAGGCAGCCCAGGTCTCGTCCGGTTATTTGGTTGTTTGGCAAAGAGAATGTTGTAATCCACGCAGCAAAGGAGGAAGGTCGTGAAGGTGACGATGAAAACAAATTGTCTGGCGAGCAGGGAGTTCAGTGACCAGGCCTGAGAGCTGGGTGGGCTGCCGCCCAGCCTCCAGCCCGGCTCGGTCTTCCTCCCCACCCTGTGAGCCCCTGGCTGCTCAGGGAGGCCCCGGGCAGACGGGAAGCAGCAGGCGCTACCAGGACAAGCATCTCACCCCAGCTGGAAAACATCCTCCAGCAGGATACAGGCAAAGCCATTCCGCTGGTGGTAGCTGTAGATGTGGCAGGTGTGTCAAGAAAGAAGCCTGAGGCATGACGGGCGTTTCCTGAGCACGCCTCCCCCTCACTCCACCTACAAGTCCCCCAACCCACCACATGCTCAGAGTGCCCCCTGACATAGCGCCAGCCCCAAGAGGCCCTCCGGTGCCACCGCCGCCAGGCCCTGTGCAAAGGATATCTTGGTGAAGAAGCTGTCCAGGTCCTGGATGTGGTGCCAGGAGCCTGGGCAGAGAGGGGAGAGTGTGGGGACTCAGCTGTCATCAGCGTGAGCTCTCCGCACCCTCTACCTGCTGCCCCAGCCCCCAGACCTCCCCCAACCCCACACCTCACCTCGGAGCCCTTCAGGCACATGAAGCAGGGGCTGCTGCTCCTCCCCATGGAGGTGTGAGTCTTGGGACCCCTCAGGGTCACAGTCCTCCAGCCGCTCATAATCCTGCTCAGGGATCAGAGGGCCTATCCGCAGCCCAGGACTGTCCTGGGGGCATCGGCGTGGAGGAGGGGGAGTCACCGAGGCCAGGGGTGGGGTGGAATGGGAACCCCAGGAGTGGGGAGCAGAGATGGGTGTTGTCACAGGCCCTACCTGTGTTGGGCGTGTGGCTGGGGTGGGGAGGGCACTGTGTCGAGGCTGAGAAGCCCCTGGGGCCTGCACAGCTGGGCAGGGGGACACTGGAGCCAGAGGAGGAACTGAGGAAGTCACACTTCTTGTGCGCGGGGCAGGGGACAGAGAGAAGATGGAGACCCTTCCTCCCCCAGGCCCTCGACACGGAGGAGGGGGGAGAGGAGGCAGCGGCATGGGGAGGAGGGGCACTGACCCAGGCCCCAGGTCTCCCCACCTCCCCAGCTGCCCCCTGCTCCCCCCCCAACCCGTTCGCCTCACCATCAAGTTGGCAGCTTCTCCTGAGAGTTCGGAAGGTTGGGAGCTGCGGCTGCTTCCTCAGAGGTTTGAGGAGTTGAGCAGGGACTTCGACAGAATGGTGACAACAACAACACAGTGACTCAGTTGGGGCAGGCCCCAGGCGTCCCAGCTCCCAGTCAGTCACCTGTCTAAGCACGCACACCCCCTTCCCGGGCAACCTGCAGCCAAAGCTCTCGGGGCCCCGCCTCCGTGCCTGGGAGGGGCGCCAGCTGGAGCGGAGGCTCGAGAACAGACCAGAGGAGAACCTATTGTCCCGCAGTTCAGCCCTTGACTGGATTTGAGGGGGAAATCCAGAGAGTAGCAGCCAAAATAACAAGAGCAAAAAGAAAACCCTGTCAAAGGATTATAGGACTATGGGGCCCAGATGTTAAATTGTTGATTTCTTATAATCTTGTCTTCCCTACACACACACACACACACACACACACACACACGAGTCATCAACAGAGAAATGCTTTAAGACCAAAAACGGGAAGAGAAAGAAAGGCAGAAAGAAAGGCAGAGGCTGCTTATTTTGTCTGTCTGGCAGTGCTCAGGAAGGGAAGGGGGGACAGCCTGGCTGTGCATCCAGGTTGCGGGACAGCGCGAGGAAGGAAGGGAAGAAAGGAGAGGCAGCTAATCTTGAGTGTGAAAAATGGGGTTTTGGAGCTTACAGTAGAAAAGAGGGGTTCCTTGGATACTCCATTATGTTTACTTCCTTACCCTCCTGAACCCTGAAACCCTCTCCCCAAGTCCCGATCCAGTCTTTAGAGGCCCCTTGGAAGCATCGGGACTGAACCAGCAGAGAGCAGCTGGAGGTCAGAGATTTGGAATGATAATTTGGGTGCCCAGAGATGAACTGACTGCGTTGAGTTCCTTGTTGTCACATCAACGAGGAGGAGGAGGAGGAGGAGAAGGACGAGGCCCAGGCAGCTGGTCCGGTGGCTTGTCCAACACCATTCCTGGGGCCCTGAGTCACCGGGTTTTCTACTGAAGGCCATGCCACCCTGGTGTCAGGCCTCCCGGGCTTCGGCCAAGGGCTGATGTAGGGGCCAGTATCCATGAAACGGAGGGAGGGCCAGAGTGCTTCCTAGACTGTTCACTGGAGGAATGTGGAGGCAATTATAGAATTGCCCACAAAATCTGAGTCCAGGTTTGCCTGTATCTCCTTCTGTGCCTCCTCGCTGGGAGAACTGTCATCCTAGCTAAGGACTTGCATAGTTTTATCCCTGAGCAGGAGGCAGAGCATTGAAAACAGGACTCGCCCCTTCTAGAGATGTCATCTTAGTGCCCAAAATGGAATGCCACATTGTAGAGGGGCTAGGAATTTCCCATGAACTCATAGAGACATCTGTCCAGGTGGGTTATGTGGGGTTTCGTCTGGTCTCTCCTTGGCCTCACTCACCACAATATTCTGCCCCACTCACTTTAGGACGCCTCCCACACACCCTTCCCATATACCCAGCCCAACCTCAAACTAATCCTGCCACATTTCCTTACCCATTTCCACCCCAAATACATCCATTTACAGCCTCCCTACCACCACTTCCTTCCGTTCAAATCAATTTATGGTAGAGGGCACTTTTTCCTGCCAGGTATTTGAAGGGGATGGGGGAACGGATGAATGAGACAGAACCACTACCCAAAAAGAAGTCGTCACCTAATTGGGGAGGCAGCTGCGCAAACAATTGCAGGGAAGGAGTAAGCGCTAAACAGAGGCTTAAGAGCTGTGCTAAGGTGGGAGTATTCGTCTAACGGTGGGTCTGAGGTCGCGCTGTGATAAGCTACTGGACCTCCCTATCTGTGGTTCTCAATTGTTGAGTAGTGGGGAGAGGCGTATCAGAAACACCTAGGGAGTTTTTTTTTCTGTTATAGGTGATTGCCGTCCCCGGAACTCTGACCCGCTTGGGAAACGGGGTGGGTGGCAAGGCAAGAGCACTTGTTTTGAAAAAAACTCCCCAGCCGATTTTGCCCATTCTTTTCCCAGAACCAGCGCTCTACACTCCCTGGAGACCCTGGGACCTCTAGAGTCCTCCAGGAGCACCAATAGAACGGCAGGGAGGTGCTCGGCTGACGCGTTACTATGGATACCCCGGGGTTGGGGTCGAACTCTGCACACTCAAAACGTCAACCCAGAGCCCGGTCAGGCAGCGTGCAGAGGGTAGTGCCCGGTCCTGCTCGACCCCGCCCAGAGCTGGGGCAGACGGGCAGGCAGCCCTGTTCAATCACAGTTCCGGAGGGAGGAGCGCTGACAAGGTTTCCTCCAATCACAATTTGCAAGACGTTCATAGGGCTTTTCCTCCAATCATCGCCGAGGCGCGAAGGGGTTGTCGGGATGGGGGCCGGAGGCAATATGGAGCCCTCAATAGGACAAGGGTGAAACTTCTGGTGTCGGCTGCTCCTTTCTTTCGCCCCGTCATGTTGGTGCATTTATTTCGTGTTGGGATTCGGGGAGGCCCTATCCCAGGCAGGCCGCTACTCCCCCTCAGCTTCCAGTCATTCTCGGCTGTCAGGTAAAAAGACAAACCTACTGGGAGCGCGGGGCCATTTGACCGGCGGGCCGGACGTAGGGACCGCCGGGAGATGGAGTCCTGGGCTCGCGCGAGGCCTGCTGGGAGTTGTAGGCCGACCGGCCCGGGGGTGGAATGTCACTCCCCCGGGAATTGGTCCCAATTATTTATAGCGAAGAGCCAGGTGCCAGCAGGAGGCTCCGCGCACCTGTATCCGCAAGTGGGCCGACTGACGGAAAGCACTGGGTGGGTGACCACGCCCGGCCCGCACTCCTTCCCCACCAGGGGGCGCCGTGCTGCACAGGTGTGGGCCCTTCGGTCGCTCTTCCGGCCCCATCCTTTTTCTTGGAATTGGTCTGGCGATTTGGATAAAAATTATTCGTGTCCAGAGACGTTTAGAATTGGTGGTCTCCCAGGATTCAAAATGAGCTGAACAAAAATGGCTCCTAGATGTGGATACTTTGAGCGGAGATAGTTTAGTAAGTTGCCCGCTTATGTTTTGTGTTCACTCTGTGCACGTAGGTGTAGAGACAGACAGACGACAGACAGATAGACACGGGTGGGAAACGAAGGGGACTCCGAACTGAGACACCAGTGTAAATGCTTTATGAGAGGGTACTGACTCCTTTCTGATCCTGGATTGAATAACCTGAGGGCCAGGCAGGCAACAGATTCGCAGGGTGGGTGGATGTGGTGGGGCTTGCGTCGTTTGGAAGTCCGTCTGATTGATAAAGGGCGAGAGCTGGGCGGGGCTGGAGCCGGAAGTACCAGTGCTGGGAAGTAATCCACCAGCTCTTGGCAGTGACCGAGCGCTGCTTAGAGCCTCAGTTTGGAGAAGATGAGAGAAGATGGAAAGTGTCCATGGTAAATTATTAAAAGGTTTGAACAATCCTCAGGAAAAGAGTAAGGGTGATAATGTTATTTACACCAGAAAGAAACCCAAAGAAGGAGATCCAATGATATTCAAGTATTTGTGTGTTCATTTGTGCAGTTTTTCAAATGTTCACGTCATAGCACAATAGATCATAAAATGAACTTGTGAGTTGGGACCATTTTAAAATGAATATAACAGCACCCTGGCTGGTGTGGCTCAGTTGGTTGGAGCATAGTCCCATAAACTGAAAGGTCATAGGTTAATTCCTGGTCAAGGCACATGCCTGGGTTGCACTTCGGTCCCATGTTGGGGTGTATAAGAGGCAGCCAGTTGATGTTTCTCTTCCTTTCTATCTCTCCCTCCTCTCAAAAATCGGTGAGCATGTCCTTGGGTGGGGATTTAAAGAATAAATAATTTTTAAAAGTGAATGTAATAAAAAATAGAATACATATTTAAAAATAGAGAAAGTATCATTTTTTGAAGCCTCTCAACTCTGTGTGACATACATATGTTCCTTGTACTGGGCTACAATGTAAAAATGTATTTCTTTCCTGTTGACCTCAGTAAATGTAAAACTTTGCAAACACTGCAGTAGTGTGTCAGTTCAGATTGCTCTACATTTCTAATGAGGGCACACACTCCACAAACATAAACATTTTGTAAACCTGTTCTGTTCCAGAGCACTGCTGAGTGCTGAGGATACAATGGTGAATAAGATAGAGTTTCCTGCTCTCTAGGAACAAATAGTGTAACAGGGAAGTTGGGCAACTACCCAGGGCAGGAGGATAGTTAGCTTCTCTATTTAAAACTATTTATGTGTTTTAGGACAGACATAAAGCACGCAGTGGAAAACAAGACGTAAAAAACCAGGCATGTGTCCCTGACTGCTATGGCTCAGTGGGTTGGGCAATCCTCCCGCAGACCCAAGGGTCACCGGCTTAATTCCCGGTCAAGGCACATGCCTGGGTTGCCGGCCAGGTCCCTGGTTGGGGGCATGTAGGAGGCATCCGATGAATGTTTCTCACCAACATCAATGTTTCTTGTCCTTTTTTCCTCCCTTCCCGTCTCTCTAAAAATAAATTCATTTTTAGAATCTTAAAAAAAAAAATCCTAGCCTGGCAGGTGGAAGGTGGTGGGTGGAGGCGCAGTGGAGAGGAGGCCAGAAGCATGGTCGCCCTGAGGGAAGGGCAGGGCGGGCGGAGTCTGCAGTTAGGAGGGCCTGGGAGTGTAAACCACAGTTACAGCGAGGAGGAGCCTTTCATTACTCCCTTCAGTCTTTCTTGAAAAGCCTTTTCCCCCATCAAAAATCTCATTTGGATCTTTGAGCATCCCACCGGGTCCTTTCCAGCCACTCCCATCTGTTAGGATCTTTAAAATGCAAATCTGGCCCTGGCTGGTGTGGCTCAGTGGGTCGAGCGTCGTCCTACAAACAAAAAGGCCGCCAGTTCGATTCCTAGTCGGCACAGGCCTGGGTTGTGGGCCAGGTCCCCAGTAGGGGGCGCGCAAGAGGCAACCACACATGGATGTTTCTATCCCTTCCCATCTCTGTAAGGGTAAATAAACAAAGTCTTTTTTAAAAAATGCAAATCTGATTATGTCATACCCCAGCCTAAAACCCAGAAATGATCTTTATTGCCCTCCAAAGCCCAGCTGTTTTATAAGGACTGTAATGGCTCTCCCCCCACCCCCCGCCGCCAATCCTGGCCCCCTCAACAGGAGGAGGAGGAGCCCCTGCTCTGTGCTCCGAGTGCCGGGGGTTCCCCTCGCCCCACACTCTGCAAGCGTTGTCATGAGCTGTGTGTCTCCCGCCACTGAAGTGTAAGCACCAGGAGGGCATTTATTTGGTCTCATGTTCACCCCTGCTCGCCATGCCTCCTAGCAGAGCGCTGTGCATAGTAGGCCCACAGCCCTACATTGCCGCCTATGGATATGGAAACTGTAGGCAAGAGTAGGTGATTTTGATCTATCTGAGGTGACAAGATACGCTATTTAGATTTTTATTTATTTTTTGTCCTTCATCTCATGGAGAAGGAGTGTGTCACCCTTTCCTCCGTCCACTGTCACAGAAGCACTCGAGACACGGGAGGAGGCAGGGTGATGGGGCGCAGTAAGCACTGACCGGCAGCCAGAAGACCTGGGCCCTGGACCTCCCACACGTGGCCTTGGGCACGTCACACGGGGCAGAGTAGAATGAGCCTGGATTCTGGAATCACACATCAGGATTCCCCTCTTGTCCCCGTTCTGCGGCTTGGGGACAAACAATTAGCTGTCTCAGTCCCACAAGATTTTGCTGTCTGTCAAGTGAGAATAACGGCATCTCCCTCCCAAGGATTTGGGATCAAACGCAGCAGCCGCAGCAGCAGCAGCAGCAGCAGCAGCAGCAGCAGCAGACCTTAACACTTGGAGGCGTGGCTGCGGCCACCAGCTGTGTGCTGCTCCCCTCTTCTCTGAGCTGCTGTGTCCTCGACCAGAAGGGAGTGACGTGGACTGGCTGCCATGCACGGTGCCCTGCAGCTCAGACGTCCTGGGATCTGAGCGTGTGGGTTGGAGCTGGTCACTGTCCCAGAGGTGCCCCCCGGGGCTGAGAGGGCCTGGCTGGCTGAGCGACCGGGGCAGAACACCTTTAAGACTTCAGCACACACGCCTGTGTCGCCCTTCAGTTGTTTTGCAAGTGTGTGTTTGTCTCAAACTGAGGACACTTAAGAGCGGCTAGCCTGGCCGAAGGGCAGTGCCGCTCTCCAGAGGGCTTGGCTCAGGGCTCGCCTGGGTCCCGCTCAGCGGAAGGACAGCCGGGGCCTCGAGCCCGCCAACGCGGTTCTCTCCCTGCAGGCACTCTGATGGCTGCCGCGGCTCCCACCTCCTCCAGGCCGTGGCCCAGCTGCGGAGTCAGCTCCGGGCCCGCCTGCCTCGAGCGCCCCCAGCCCCCCGCCGAAGCCCCTCTGCCTGGCGCTGGGCTGGGGGGGCCCTGCTCGGCCCCATGCTGCTGAGTAAGTGCCCCCGCCTGTGCCTTGTGGCACTGTGTCAGGCCGAAGAGGCCCCTCCTGCCCGCCGCAGTGCCCATGTCGCGGAGCCCCACTTTAACTGGACGCTCTTCTGGCAGTTTCTGCGCCCCCACCTGCTGGTCCTGGGGGCAGCCGTCGTGGTGAGATCTGCCCCGCACCCCTAAAACCAGGGAGAGGGAGGGACCCAGCCAGAGCCGCTCAGGGGCGGCCTGCCTGCCTCGTGGAGACTTCAAGGAGCAGCTGGGCTGGCTTGGTGCCGGGGCCACGGGATGCCCGGGGAGCCTCCGCAGGGTGACTGGGCGTGCAGGGCTCGGGGTCCCCGGACCTGGCAGCCTGAGCTCGGATTCTCAAAGGCACAGGAGCGGCCAAAGCATGGGCAGCAGCGGAAGAGGAAGGACCAGCGTCAGGGCTGGGGATGGGGGGAGCACGGCCCCTCTAAATGTCTGCGCCCCACCCCCAGCTGGCACTGGGCGCGGCCCTGGTGAACGTGCAGATCCCCCTGCTCCTGGGCCAGCTGGTGGAGATCGTGGCCAAATACACGAGGGACCACATGGGCAGCTTCCTGAACGAGTCCCGGAACCTCAGCACCCACCTGCTCCTGCTCTATGGCCTGCAGGTACGGCAGGGGGCAGGGCCCGGGGGCAGACAGAGGGGCCGCCCGGGCGCCCCTGAGTGTCCCCGCCTGTCTCCCAGGGACTGCTGACCTTTGGGTACCTGGTGCTCCTGTCCCGCATCGGCGAGCGCATGGCTGTGGACATGCGGAAGGCCCTCTTCAGCAGCCTGCTCCAGTACGCCAGCCGCGGGGCGCGGGCGGGGGCGGCCGACGGCCCCGGGGGGCCCTGGCAAGTGCCTGCCGGTGGGACCTCATCCTGAAGTAACATCTCCCTCTCTCCCCGACCTGGTGCCCTGTGTCCCACCGCCAGACAAGACATTGCTTTCTTTGATGCCAAAAAGACAGGACAGCTGGTGAGCCGACTGACAGCTGATGTGCAGGAGTTCAAGTCATCCTTCAAACTGGTCATCTCTCAGGTCAGTGCCCCAGGCTCCCCGCCTCGCCCACCCACGCGCACGCCCCCGCCCCCCACGCTCTCCGGGTCAGGCCCACCAGGCCCGCCCCGCCCCGCCCCAGCCGCTGGGCCCAGAGCCTGGCAAGGGTGTGGGTGAAGGACGGGGAAAGTTCACGGGAGGGAGGCGCCAGGGCCGTGTCCAAGGTCAGGATAAGCTGTTTCTCTCCTGTCCTGAAATCCTACCTCCCCAGAAAACCTTCCCAAGGACTCGGGCAAGAGCCTTTCCGGGCCCAGCCTGCCAAGAGCAGAATCGCCCTGGCCTGCCTTGCCCCCAGAACGCCTGGCACGCTGACAGGCACTGGGGAGAATGAGCCACGGCTTCTCCTGCATCGCTGATGGCCTCCCCTCGTCCGCCCTGTCGGCACCGTGGTGGCTGGGCCATGGCAGGCACCGGTCCACAGCACCCACACGTGACTCTGTGCTCCGTGTTTGGAGCGGAAAGAGAAGCAAACTGGGATCTGGGGGGGAGGTGGCCATGCCCACAGACTCACTCATCCCGCCCCTTCATGCCTGCTGGTCAAGAGAGGGTTATGTTCCCCCTGGCTGGCCTGGCTCAGCGGGTGGGGTGCCAGCCTGTGAACCAGAAGGTCACCGGTTCAATTCTTCCCAGTTAGGGGACCGATCCCTGCTTGCGGCCATGGAAGAGGCAGCCAATCGATGTTTCTCATCACACACTGGTGTTCTCTTTCACTCTTCCACCTCCCTTCCTCTTTTTCTTAAAAAAAAAAGAAATTAGGAAAAGAAAGCCTTACGGAAACAGTATGGTCCGTAACCAGTAGACCGCACCTGCCAGCCTGTCTCCTGCCTCCTCCCCTCTCCCCAGGGACTGCGAAGCTGCACCCAGGTGGCTGGCTGCCTGGTGTCCCTGTCCATGCTGTCCCCGCGCCTCACGCTGCTGCTGATGGTGGCCACACCCACCCTGATGGGAGTTGGCACCCTGCTGGGCTCTGCTCTCCGCAAACTATCTCGCCAGTGCCAGGAGCAGGTACCAGAATTTCTGCTCGCCCTCCAGACCAGGCCGTTCCCTCTGCCCTGTCCCTCCTGCCCAGCACCAGCCCGACTCCCTTTCTCCTGGCCACCCCGCAGGTCGCCCGGGCAACGGGTGTAGCGGATGAGGCCCTGGGGAACGTTCGGACTGTGAGAGCCTTCGCCATGGAGCAGCGGGAAGAGGAGTGAGTCCTGGTCCGGGGAGAGCCCAGCGCTGGGGTGGGGGTTCTCCCCAGACACACGCCCACCCACCCCGCGCCCTGACTGGCTGCTTCTGAGGGCTGGGCTCGTCCTCTGCCCCCAGACGCTACGGGGCCGAGCTGGAGGAGTCCCGCCGCCAGGCAGAGACGCTGGGCAGAGGCATCGCCGTGTTCCAGGGGCTCTCCAACATCGCCTTCAACTGTGAGTGTGCGAGCCAGGCCTGGGGGCGGGGCCGGCGAGTGCAGGGCGGGGCGGGGGGCGGGGGGCGGGCCCCAGCCGGGCAGCGCTCACCTGCTCCGTGCTCACCTGCTCGGTGTCCTTGGGTGCCAGGAGCCCGCATCACTGCCAGTAATGCGGGCAGGCCCTGGGCAGGTGGGCTGATGTCACTGCTGAGCTACGTGTAGCACGTTGCCTGCTGCCCAGGAGGAGGCCATGCAGGTGGCCCCTCCGGGCATCCGAATGAGGAAACAGACCACTCAGGTGACTCACCGGAGTTTGAAGTCAGCCTCAGTGGGGGCGGGGGGGGGGGGAGGCGGGGGCGGCGGTGCAGGGACCTGGCCCAGGCTCTCTCCTGGCTTCCAGCCGCCCCTTCCTAACCACCTGTCCCCCCGCCCTGCAGGCATGGTGTTGGGCACCCTGTTTATTGGGGGTTCCCTCGTGGCAGGACAGCAACTGAGTGGGGGAGACCTCATGTCCTTCCTGGTGGCCTCCCAGACGGTGCAGAGGTGAGTGTGGGGCGGTCCCCGTTCCTCGGGGGCCATGTGGGTGAAGGATGGGTGCCAGCCCGCGACCGCAGTGAAGCTCCGCGCTGGGGACCGGCCGCGCCCTCCACGAGGCCCCTCCAGCCCAATTCGCTGCTGGCGCGCAGGAACATGGCCATCACGTTCAGCCTTCCAGACACCTCAGGGGCTTTAAAAAGAACTTTAGTAAAATGCACGTAACAAAGTTTACCATCTTCACCATGTTTAAGTGCACAGTTTACAGTGTTACGTACACTCACAGTGTTGTGTAACCATCACCTCCGTCATCCTCAGAACTTCTTCATCTTGCAAAACTGACCCTCTGTCCCCATTGAACAGTATCTCTCATGACCCCCGGCCCCGGCACCACCCCCCACTGTCCGTCTCTGTGAATGCAGCTACCCTGGGCGCTCCCACAAGTGGGACCATAGGCTACTTGTCCTTTGCGACTGGCTTATGTCACTTGGCACGGCCCCTCCCGTGCTATCGCCCTTGTTGGAATTTCTGCCTTTTCAGAACTAAGATTCTGTGTGCGGAGAGCCCGTCTCTGACACGCTCTTGAAGAGCTGGCCCGCCGTCCTCTGCCCCCCCGGCTGGCTCCGTGTGCCAGCTGCCCTGAGACCTGCCCGCTCCTCTGGCCCTGGCAGCTGCGGGCAGCCCAGAGCGCGGCCGACTTCGCCGCAAGGCGGCCCAGACCCCCTTCCCCAGCCGCCCTCCCCGGCAAACCCCAGCCATGCCCGCTGCTGCTCCCCCTCACTGTGTCCTCCCTGCCACCACGTCCCATGAACACAAAAGTGCGTAACACGTAAACACATGTTATGATGCAAGTTGAAGAGTGACACGCTATAATAAGTCACAAAGAGTGGAGACCTGTGTTACCACCAGCTACACAAGGAAGCGGAGCGCCCCCCGGCCCCCTGTGTGCCCCTCGCCGGGCGCCTGGCTTTGCCGCATGTCCCCCCACGCGTTTCTCGCAGAAGCCCTCACCATCAGCCTCACTGGGTGGGTGGGAAGGGCGCCCGCCCTCGGCCCCGTTTCTGTGTGCTGCTTCCTAGTCCGTGGTGGGCGCCTTCCCCCAGCCCCTGGGGCTGCGCGGCTCTGGCTGTCACAGCGAAGGGGCTTGGGGCCTGCCCTGCTGCCCTCCCCCAGCCCACCTGTGGCCTCGCGTTTGAGCCTTGAGGACCCTTGGGAACTTGCTGGCCCCCTGTGTGCCGTCACCCCTCCGCCTCCCAGGGGCAGTGGCAGGAAAGGCTCCTGTGGGGAGGGCGGCGCACCCGGGGCCTGGCCTCCGCCCTCCGGCCTCCACCTCGCCTGCCCCCTCCCCGCCTGCCTCGCACGCCCAGCGCCTCGCCTCCCCATCGGCAGCGTTCGCAAGCGTGAGGAAGCCCCAGGAAGGAGCCCATCTGCACGGCTGGCTGGGGGCCGCTTCCGCTGTCACTGCTCCTGGGCCTGTTCTTCCAGGGCCCCTCGCCTCGGGGGGGCGGTTTTCACCACCCACCTGGAAGGAATTGAGTCTTGTTTCATTGGAAAAGCAGCTGTGTTTCCTCCTGGGGTCCAGCAGGGGTGCGGGGAGGGGGAGGAAGGGGCGCGCTGCCCCGCCTGACGTGGCCCCAGCCTTGGGACCCCACCTAGGCACTCTTTGTGGTGGCACTGGGGATACAGGGAGGTGCCACCTGGTCTACATCCAGGGCTGGGCCCTACTGGGAATGTCGCCTGCCAGGCGGGCCTCTGGGGAGAGCCAGGTGCGCCTCCCGAACCACCTCTGAGAGCAAGGCCGTTGCTCACCAGGGAGTCATGTGCGTCCGGTTTTCAGTTGCTGCCCGGCACCTCTGCCAGGCACTAATGGCTTCCAGATCTCTCCCTTCTCATCCACAGATAACCGCTGCCCTGGCCCTCCTTGCTCAGTGCCTCCCTGCTCCCTCTGGCAAGTGCCAATGGCCCTGAGCCCGCCAGAGCCACTGCCCTGCCCGTTCCTGCCCCCCACCCCCGCTCCCGCACTCTGGTCCTGGAAGAAGTGAGATTGCCGAGGAGCCAGCCCCTCCCCTCCCCTCCTCCGGAGCGCCCTGCACACACAGTCGGACTCCCGCGCTGTCACAGTGCCCAGGCCGGTCAGGTCCTGGTGACTAAGCAGCAGTGACTCACCTTCCAGGCCCACAGCCCCACCTCACGGAGGTGACCGGCTGTCCCGCCAGGCGCAGGCTTGCGACACCCTCGCGGAGGGCAGGCCCCCAGGAAATGTCTCCAGGGCGTTGGTTTAGGGTGTCCCCAGCGTTTCCCCTGTGGTCCAGCGTCTTCTGTTTTCTTTCTCTGAAAGCACCAACATCTGTTTTCCCCCTTCATTAGCCCTTGCTGCCCCATCGGGTCCACAGCACTAGATCTGGCCCACCCTTGGGGGCCTCACAGGCCTGGCCCCCGCGTGGGAGCCAGCCCGCAGCCAGCAGGCCACGCGGGGTCCAGCCCCACGGAGCCCCGGAGGGCCCAGTCCTGAGGCAGCTCGGCCATCGGCCTCCTCCCGCCGAGGAGAGGGGCGCCTCCCAGACAAGTGACCTGCCTGAGCCCAGGGCGCTTGGGGTCCCAGGTTCCAGGGGCGTCCTCGGCATTGGGCTCGGGGCCTCCTGTTTCCTCGGCGCCCGCCCCCCACGCAGCTGCGACCCAGCCTGCCTCTGGGGCGGCCTCCTCTCAGCCCTTCTCTTCACTCCCTGCAGGTCCATGGCCAACCTCTCCGTCCTGTTCGGCCAGGTGAGTGGCCAAGGCGGGGTGGGTCCGGTCAGCCACCAGCATCACCTATGCGCCCCAGGAGCTGGGCACCGGGCGGAGGGGGTGCGCGCCTGCCCGGGAGTCCAGGGATGCTGCTGCCGCTCCCCCCACCCAATGCCCTGGCCCACCCCCTCACCGCAGGCTGAACCCCCCCCCCCAGGTGGTACGAGGGCTCAGCGCGGGCGCCCGGGTGTTCGAGTACATGACCCTGAGCCCCTGCATCCCGCTGTCCGGGGGCTGCCGTGTCCCCAGAGAGCACCTGCGTGGGTCCATCGCGTTCCACAACGTCAGCTTCAGGTCGGTGTCGGCAGGGGTGCGCAGAGGTCGTTCCCCCGCGCTGGGGGCCTGCGTGTGGGCTCGCGTCCCCCTCCGCCCGAGCCCCATCAGGGGTTCGGTGAGACTGCAGGAGGGACCGGGGGCGACCAGGGCCGGGAGGCTGGTCTCACTGAGGGTGTCTTTGTCCCCAGTTACCCCTGCCGCCCTGGCTTCCCGGTGCTCGAGGACTTCAACCTCACGCTGCCCCCTGGCAGGATCGTGGCCCTCGTGGGCCAGTCGGGCGGAGGTGAGGGGACCCCACAGGTCTGCCCCTGCCCCGTGACCTTCCCCGTAGCGGTCACCCAGGGGCGCCCTTCTCTCCTGGCACCGTCTCCGGAACCCCGTGCCCCTCCCTGACGGCCCATCTCCCCAACCCCCATGTCCCAGGAAAGACCACAGTGGCCTCCCTGCTGGAACGCTTCTACGACCCCACGGCAGGCTCGGTGACCCTGGACGGGCGGGACCTGCGCACCCTCGACCCCTCCTGGCTCCGGGGCCAGGTCATCGGTTTCATCAGCCAGGTGCGGAGAGAAGAGGGTGCCGGCGCCCGGGCAGTGCCGAAGGCCCACCCCGCCCGCCTCCTTCCTCCCGTGGCCCTGCCTCTCAGTCCTCACGTCCCAGCCCGCCATCCCTGCCCTGGGGGTCCCTGGCCTCCTTCGCTTGTCCCTGGCATCCCTCCGGGGGGGTCTGAGGCTTGTTCACCACGGCGCTGCCCACTCTCCGCAGGGCAGGAAGGCTGCTCCCCAACGGAAGCCGGCCGCGCAGGCGACGCTGGGATGGCAGTTGCAGGGCTCCTGGGCTCTGTGACCAGCCCATGGTGTCCAGAGGCCCAGAGACACCTGCGCGGCGTGGCTGGGGACTGCCGGCCACCACTCACCTGCTAAGCAAGGCCGCAGTGCTCTGCCTCTGCCTGAGGCGGTGCTGCCCAGAGAAGGCCCCCCTTCCCGCTGGGTGTGCGGTAAACGGCACCCACCGACAGGCTGGGGCTCTGTGGGGACCTCTGCCACCCCCCCACCCCGATTTGATGGCCCTGTTCTTTTGACCTCTAACTGAACTGTCCCTACATTCCCTCCAAGGGACCCTGGTTTGACCAAAATAGCCTCTCCTGACACCCCCCTCGGGGAATCGGGGCCACGTCTGAACGTCTCCTGTGGACTCCCCCCACCCCTCCAGGAGCCAGTCCTGTTCGGAACGACAATCATGGAGAACATCCGTTTTGGGAAGCCGGGTGCCTCTGATGAAGAGGTCTACGCCGCCGCCCGGGAAGCCAACGCGCACGGGTTCATCTCCAGCTTCCCCGAGGGCTACAACACCGTCGTCGGTGAGCGCGGGGCAGCCTCCCGCTCGGCTCTGCAGGGCCCGCGGCGCGCAGCTGGGCCCGGCGGCAGGAACGCAGGCGGGGCACCCGGGGCGGCCCAGCCAGACCGTGGCCAGCGGGGATGGGGGAGTCCAGGCACAAGCAGGCCACATCCCCGGCCTGGTCGCATAAGGACCTCGGGTCAGTGACGGGCCTCAGGCAGGACAGGGACGACAGCGCAGCTGTCGCCTCCACCTGTCGCAGGCTGTACCACCTGTGGTTGCCCAGTGACGCGTTTCTCAGAGTGCATCCTGTCGTTCAGTGATGTGTGACTGTCCAGGGCCGCCAGGGACACGGTGACCTGGGGTATTGGGGACGTGTGGTGCTTGTTGGGGGCCTCTACGTCCTGAGACCGACCAGAGCCAGTGGGCGTGGTCTGCTCGCGGTCATCCACTCTCTGGCCTCCGTGCGCTCCTGTCCTGCTCTGTAACTTAAAGGAGCTTCCCTGGGTGTCCTGGGATTGACGTGGGTGAGCGGGTCCCTCTCTGCTTCTCCCGGGGGAGGGCTCTGGGGGCTCTGGAAGACCCGCTAGCCTGACACTGCAGCCGGCGGCATGTCCCTCCCGGAGGTCTTCTGTCCGACTTCTGGGCCGTGTTTGTCGCCCGGGCTCTGCTGCCGATGTCCCCACACACCCCAAGGCGCAGGCACAGCTGCAGTGTCAACCCTCCTGGACCTTTGGCCTCAGCCTGGCTGAGCTCTCACCTCCCGAGTGGGGCCCTCGTCTGTAGCCACCCCTCACGTCCTGTGTTACTGACCCCACTGCCCCCTGGACCCTGCGGCTCTCTTGGGTGGCACTCCCCTTGCGCCTCTGGCCCAGCGCCCCCGGGCCTCCCCGGGCCTCCGGCCTGCCCCTCGCTGCTGTGTGCCCGCCGCCGCTGCGAGGCGCTTTCTGGCTCCCAGGCTGCCGCCCCTGCGGCTCTCCCCCGATGTGGTCCCCCCAGAGTGCCCGGGTGGTGGGCTTCAAACCCCGCTGTGCCTGCACTGCCCGGGGCCTGCACCCGGGTCCTGGGCGCCCCCACAGCAGCGGAGGCCCGGAAGGCGGGGGAAGGCCGTTATAACCGCGGGTCCCGTCGGGCTCTGACGCCCTGAACTCCGCCACGTGCGCCGCTCACGTCACCGTGCATGAGTGTGCGTGCGCATGCCCGGGGACGTGGGGGCCGCTGCGGGTGGGTGCTGCCCCTGCCCTCGCAGTGGCGGGCGGGGGCCCCGAGGGGCCCGAGGGGAAGCTCCCAACGGACCCGGTGCCCTTCGCGGGGCCGCCCCGAGTGCAGAGCTGAGGGCTGCTTCCTCCCCAGGCGAACGGGGCACAACCCTGTCCGGTGGCCAGAAGCAGCGCCTGGCCATCGCCCGCGCCCTCATCAAGCAGCCCGCGGTGCTGATCCTGGACGAGGCGACCAGCGCTCTGGACTCGGAATCCGAGCGGGTCGTGCAGGAGGCCCTGGACCGCGCCAGCGCGGGCCGCACCGTGCTGGTCATCGCCCACCGGCTCAGCACCGTGCGCGGCGCCCACCACATCGTCGTCATGGCCCACGGCCGTGTCTGTGAGGTCCGTGGGGGCCCGGGGGCCGGCGGGGTGGCTGGGACGGCGTGAGCCGGGACACAGCGGAAGGGGGCTCTCCCGGGCTGTGGGAGGGTCTGGCCCGGCCCTGGCGCGTGGGGCCGTCTGCCGGAAGCAGCGCCCGCCCTGGGACAGGCCCTGGCTCCTCAGGGCCCCAGAGTCTCCCTCTGTCCCCGGGGACAGCCGTGCTCCCAGGGTGACAGGAACGTGCAGCGTGATGGGCTGGGAGCAGCCCCAGAGGCTGGGTCCTGGGTCTGCAGCAGGGCCTGGTCCCCAGCCCCCCAAACCACCTGTTAAAGCAAAAGCTGGAGGGCTTGCGAGGGACCCTGGAGTCACTGGGCTGTGCAGAGGGCCCAGAGGACAGCAGGGAGGAGGTATTTGCAAATACCGCTGTGCCAGTGGCATCTGTCACCGGCTGTGCTTCAGTTTCATGGTGTCCCCAGCAGGGACACGGGCTGAGGTAACAGCAAGCCCGAGGGCACTATGAAGCCAGCCCTCCTGGGGCCCTGAACCCAGGGCCAGGCTGGGTGCCCACCTACCACCGCCCTCTGCAGGCGGGGACCCACGAGGAGCTCCTGAAGAGAGGGGGGCTCTACGCCGAGCTCATCCGGAGGCAGGCCCTGGCCTCCCCACCGCCCGGCGACCCCAGGAACCGCACCCCCGAGTCCTGAGAGCAGCGCACAGCGGCCCGGCCGCTGATTGGCGCCCAGGGCTGAGGACAGAGCCCCCAGAGGACCTGCGTGCCGGCCGTGGGCTGTCCCCTGCGCACAGTAACGCCCAGGACAAGCCCTGGGCTGGGAGGGGCTTGGGGCTGCCGCCAGCTGCCACCCTCCTGCCAGAGCTGCCTCGTCACTGGGCTACCCTGGGGAGGAGGCAGAGTCAGGCTGCCCCCGTGCCCTCCCTTTGCCCAGACCGTCGCCCACCCCTCTCAGAATCTCTGCCGTCCCCTCTGCCTGGCGGCCTGGGCGCCCGGCCACGGCCCAAGGAAACCGCGTTCTGGGGCAGGGAGCGGTAGGGAACGCACTCTGGGCCCTCCCCACACCCACGCCAGACTCCGCTCACCTGGGCTGACCCCGCGCCCCTTCGTCCCCACTGCCTCCCCAGGCCCTGGGAGAGCCCCGCCGCCCCGCGCCAACCCCTTGGACCCACAGTCCCCACGCCCAGAACAGCTTCTCTTCCTCCACACGGTCCTCATCTCACCCTCCCCCACCCGATGGGGCAGGTGCCCGGCAGGCCCTCGGGGTGGGAGAGGAGGGCGGGCACTCTGTGGACCAGCCTGGCCCCGGGCCCTCCTGGAGCCTGTCACCTGGTGAGATTGGACAGCACCCCGTACACGAGGACACCAGCTGTGAAGGGGACAGAGCGGGAGCCGACGCACCCCAAAGCCCAGCCACGGGGGCACGGAGTACCAGCTGTCACCAACCACGGAGGGGAGGTCAACGCTAAGCCCTTTGGGCCGACAACATACAAAACCTGTCTGAAGAGGAGCAGTCGCTGCCGGGCCTGGCGAAGGTGGGGCTGGGGCCCCACCGGGAAAAAGGACTGGCGAGTGCCCGCGCGCGTGGGCCTGTGGCCCTGAAGCTGTGAGGGAGGGCCTACGAGACGCCAGGGTCTCCCAGCAGCCCTCCCACCTGCTTCTGCCCTCGTCTCCCCGCACCGGACACCCTGCCCCTTCACGGCCCGGTCCAGGCTGAGGACCCCACTGAGCCCTGCGCCCGCAGTTGGCCTGAGGAACCGCCTGTGTCAGGCCTTCGGGGCTGAACAAGCATTTCAGGACCCTTCTGTGGCAAGAGGGTGAGGCCAGGGTGCCGGGGCAGCGGCCGCTGGAGGAGCAGAGTCGCCTGCTGTGGAGGCCAGTCTGGAAGAGGCGGCCTTGGCCCCGGGTGAGTGCAGGAGCCGGGAGACAGACGCCACAGCCTCTCCCAGGGGTGGTCCAGGACCAGACACCACCCCGGATGTCCCAGGGCCCCAGCAGCCCTGCTTTGCTGCCCCAGTTCCTGACCAGTGGGTGAGGGTCACACCCCAGGGCAGCCCCGGCTCACGAGGCAGAGCGTAGGGCTGACTTGGGGTGGTTTGGCCACGCGGTGCCCAGTGCGGCCCAGAGCAGGCCTCACACAGCCCCCAGGTCCACGCTGGCCCGCCTGGCCCCTCCAGCCCCTTCCTCGGGAGAGCCAGCTGTGGGGGGGTCAGCTCCTGCTCCTCGGCCCCGGCTCCAGGCCTCTGACACCAGACGCCGGTCTCCTTGCCCCTGCAGGGTGGCTTCTACAGATCCTGCCCCGCCATTCCCCCCAGCTCAGCTAGGGAAGTGAGCCTCGGCTTTGGCTCCTTTGGCTGTTCAGCGGGGATCCTGCGCCTGGCTCTGCTTCCTCTTCAAAGCTCATTTTAAGAGCTTGTGTGGCTAGAGCTGGCTGGGGAGCTCAGTTGGTGAGAGCACCATCCCCATACACCAAAGTTGCGGGTTCAGTCCCCAGTCACGGCACATACAAGACACAACCAATGAATGAATAAGTGGAACAACAAATCAATGTTTCTCCCTTCCTCTCTAAAATCAATAAAAAAAAACTTTTTAAAAAAGTTAAAGTGGAGTAATCTGTGGTAAAGTAAGTAAAACAATGCTGCCGGCTCCCATGTGGGCACATCTGGGCAATAGATCATGTTACCCACTCGTTCTGTCCAAAACGTGTTCATTAAGCACCTCTCCTGCCCCACCCCGCGGTGCGCACGGCAGTCCCTGCGTCCTGCCCGATGAAGCCTGCGGTAGACAGGCGGGCAGGCGGCCACAGCGCAGCGTGGCTGTGTCATGAGCTCCGTGTGTTCTGCTCTCGTCCAGGAACCCACTGACATGAACGCAGCGGCCTCAGGTGCTCTGGGGGAAGAGCTGGAGCAGAAGTCAGTGAAGGGAGACAGACTTGCTTTCTCTTGGGCCCACAGTGCAGCCACCTGGCTCTCCGGTCCCCAGGCCCCAGAAGGCGGGGGCCGGTGACCCTGACAGGAGGACCAGGCCCCGACACCGCTCTCCGCCGGCCTGTCCGGGCTGGCTCCTGCTGCTCTTCCTTGTCCCCTACGCTCTGGGTCCCCACGACTCCCTCATCCCTCTCCGGCCAGTGGCGGTAACGTCACAGGCCGCACTCTGCCTCCCGGAGGTGCCTGCTCGGGCTGCTGGGAGGCGCCCCCACGGCCCGTGGGCTCTGCTGTCAGATGGGCCAGCCCTGCGGCCCGGGGCGCCCAGCCAGCTCGGGCCCAGTGTCTTCCTTTAAAAAAATCCCCTGGCCGAACAGGCACCCTCCTGTGTTACTGCTGGAGCGCAAAACAGCGTCACTCCCACGGCTGGGAATTTTGTGACATTAAATGACCCGCACAGTTGCCTCTTGACCCAGCCGTGCACCGCCGTTCGTAAGGGCAGACTGGAAATCCCCGGCGCTCCTCAGGGGCCTGGTGACCAACGAGGGTGTGTCCACATAATGGCACGGTATGCGGATGTTTGAAAATGGCAGTTTCCAGGTACTGGATATCACGTGAATATGTTAAGTAAAAAAAAGATGTGACATCATAGGGCACCCATGCTATTCGGGGGAGCTGGAATGTGTTACCTGGGAGGGTAGGGGGTGAGCCCGTAACCACTGCAGTGGAGGTGAACCTCTCAGATAGGAGGGCCTGAGGAGGGGTCCCTCAAGAAACAGACCCCTGGGACATGGGACCTGCAGGGGCCCCAGCCTTCCGGTGCGGTTGGAACTCTTGGGGCTCGGCAGGAGGTGGCAGCCGGCGCCAAACTCCCCAGCACCTTCCAGCCTGGTCAAGCGCCAACTCTGCTCCCCGCGACACGCCTCCCATGATGAGGTTAGCGGGAAGAGAGACGGGAGGAGGGAGGAGCCCCGCCGAGGGCCAGTGACTGACTCTCAGCCCCATGTACAGGGGCTGCAGCCAGGACACTAGAGACCCCACAGGCACCCCCAGCCCCGACTGCCTCTGGGCTCCCTTCAAGCCCAACCAGGGCGGCTGTGGTTTCTGGCTGGCGCCTCCAGCTTCCACAGCCACGGTGCCCCCCCACCCCATGCTGCATTAATGGCTCAGCCTGGGGCCCCAGGGACCTCCCCGCCCCCCGGGCTGTTCTGCCAGGCCCCTTGCCCCCTCGCTGCTGAAACCCAATCCTCTGCAGCAGCCCTGGCTCAGCGGAACGGCAGACCAGCCCGGCTCACCACGCGGCTGGGCTGCACCCGACCTACTCTCTGCTGCGGAGCCCCCAGCCAGCACCGGGTCCTGTGGAGCCACGGCCTGCTCCTGGACAAGGCCACCGGGACCCTCCAGGTCACCACATCCAACCCTGCCAGGCCAGTGCCCCCCCACCTCGTTCCCAGGCTTGACTCCTCTCCCTGCCTCACACCTGCACTGCTCCTGCCTGGCCAGCCCCCCTCGGTCCTCAAACTGACCCTCTCCTCCTTCCAAGCCTCTGCAGCCTGGTCGGCAGCCCCCTCCGTCCCCTCGCCTCGGCCCCAGCCATGAAGCCCCCCTCGGGGCTGGAAGAGACTCGGCGGCCAGCCTCGGACATCCGCGTGTTCGCCAGCAGCTGCACGCTGCACGGGCTGGGCCATGTCTTCGGCCCAGGGAGGCTGACCCTGCGCCGGGGGCTGTGGGCCGTGGCTGTGCTCTTGTCGTTGGCCGCCTTCCTCTACCAGGTGGAGGAGAGGGTGCGCTACTACGGGGAGTTCCACCATGAGACGGTCCTGGACGAGCGCGAAAGCCACCAGCTCACCTTCCCGGCCATCACCCTGTGCAACATCAACCCGCTGCGCCGCTCGCGCCTCACGCCCAACGACCTGCACTGGGCCGGGCCCTCGCTGCTGGGCCTGGAGCCCTCCGAGCACGCGGCCTTCCTGCGCGCCCTGGGCCAGGCCCCCGCTCCGCCCGGCTTCATGCCCAGCCCCACCTTTGACATGGCCCGACTCTATGCCCGGGCAGGGCACACCCTGGAGGACATGCTGCTGGACTGTCGCTACCGTGGCCGACCGTGTGGGCCCGAGAACTTCACTTCGGTGAGCTGGCCACACCCTGCCTGTCCTGCCAGAGACCCGGGAGTGCCGGCCAGTCCCTGTCCAGGAGCTGCCATCCCAGCTTTGGTGGCCCAGGCTCCCCCACAGCCAGGGAACGCCCATGCCCAGGGCCCTTTCCTCCCCGGCCGAACCGCAGCCCAACCCCCCCAACCTTGGTGCCTTTCTGTTCAGCCCAGGAAGCTGGCCCCATCACTCAGCTGGACAACAGTGTGCGAGGTCACACCTCCCAGCTTGGGGCGTTCACCCCGGCTGGCTCTTGGGCTAGGTCTGGTCTGTGAAGACCCTGCTACTGGGGGTGGGGGGCCGCAGGTGGGACTGTTCTAGGGCTGAAGACCCCGCTCTCAGCCGAGGCGAGGGCTGGCTTTCCCTCTGCCTCCTCAACACTCTGCCGGTCCTGGAGGGCGGCACGGGGGCCCACTGCCTTTTACCCCCGGTCTCCAAAGAAAGGCTGCCCTGCGGGCTGTGCCCTTGGCTGGGGATAGAGGGGGTGAGGATGAGGTGGAGCGATGGAGGCCCATGAGGGTCCAACTGCGTGGGCCTGTGGGAGGATGGGGCTGGGCCTGAGAGTTCACAGAAGAGACCCAAGCAGAGGACGGGGAGGGGAGCGGTCCCTTGGCCCTGCGTGTGCCCGGCTGGGCCTCTGGCTCCTCAGCGAGGTCCACCCCACTGTGCCCGCCCCAGATCTTCACCCGGATGGGTCAGTGCTACACCTTCAACTCTGGTGCAGACGGGGAGGAGCTTCTCATCACCCACCAGGGCGGCGCGGGCAATGGGCTGGAGGTCATGCTGGACGTGCAGCAGGACGAATACCTGCCCGTGTGGAAGGACATGGGTATGGGAGCACGATGGCTCCGGGAGGGAGAGGGGAAGGGGGCAGGTAGGCGTGGCCCATCGTGGCCCCGGGGCCAGTGGGCCGCCGCCCGGGTCTCCTGGAGCCCACCAGGCCTCAGGTGCCCCTTCCCCCGCAGAGGAGACCCCATTTGAGGTGGGGATCCGCGTGCAGATCCACACCCAGGAGGAGCCACCCATCATTGACCAGCTGGGCTTCGGGGCGGCCCCCGGCTACCAGATTTTTGTGTCCTGCCAAAAGCAGCAAGTATCCTCTGCGGGACCTGCGAGCCCCCTCTGCCCACCAAGGCTCCCACCCACTCCTTCCGCACACGCACCTCAGCCCCCAACCCCGCAGCCCTTCAGATCTGTCCCTGGTGCCTCTGCCGCCCCGCCCCACCCCACCCTCACGCCCACGCGGGGCAGTGGCTGCTCCCATTCTCCCTGGGCGCCCACTTCTGCCCAAATCCTCCTTAACCAGCCTCTCTGCAGCTGAGCTTCCTGCCACCCCCCTGGGGCGACTGCAGCTCAGCGTCTCTAGACCCTGACTATGAGCCGGAACCCTCTGGTCCCCTGGGGCCCCCCAGCCCCAGCCGGGGCCCCAGCCCTCCCTATAGTCTAATGGGGTGTCGCCTGGCCTGCGAGACCCGCTATGTGGCTCGGAAGTGCGGCTGCCGAATGATGCACATGCCTGGTGAGGGGCTGGAGAGCGGAGGAGGGGCCGGTGGGGCGGGGGCGGCGGCCTGGGGTGGCCTGAAAGCGGCCATTCGCGCATACACACGCACCCCCCGCCCGTCCTCCAGGTGGCGCGCCGGTGTGCAGCCCCCAGCAGTACAAGGACTGCGCCAACCCGACGCTGGGTAAGGGGCAGGCATCTCTGCATCCCGTCCCCACCCGCTCGGCCTGGGACCCCCGCCCCAAGGCAGGCGCGGGAGCGGCCCTGATCGGGACGGTTGTGGCCCTCAGACGCCATGCTGCGGAAGGACGCGTGCGTCTGCCCCAACCCCTGCGCCACCACGCGCTACGCCAAGGAGCTCTCCATGGTGCGGATGCCCAGTCGCGCCGCTGCCCGCTACCTGGCCCGAAAATACAACCGCAGCGAGGCGTACATCGCGTGAGCCCGCAGCGCGGGGGCGGGGCGGGGCGGGGCGGGGCGGGGGGCACGGGACCTGGGAGGGGCAGGTGCCCTCCCCGCGCCGCCGAGGGAGCGCACACAGGCGAGACACCAGCTTGCCCGTCAGCACAGGACTCTGGAACTCCGGACAAGCTGCCCAACCTTTCTAATGCGGCGCCTTCTACAAACGCAAACGGGAACGGTGGCGCCCCTCTCAGGGATCTTCGAAGGAGTCAGAGACCAGAGGACGGGCGGGCACTTGTTTCCCGCCAGCAACTGGCACCAGAGGGGCGTAGTGAACGCTCCCGCCTCTTTTCCTCCAGGGAGAACGTGCTGGTGCTGGACATCTTCTTTGAGGCCCTCAACTATGAGACAGTGGAGCAGAAGAAGGCCTATGAGGTGCCGGAGCTGCTTGGTGTGTCCAAGGTGCCCGGGGCGCTGGGGAGGGGCCGACCGGACAGGTGGCTGCGAGCTGACTGGTGACCCGGTCTCCGCAGGCGACATTGGGGGCCAGATGGGGCTGTTCATCGGGGCCAGCCTGCTCACCATCCTTGAGATCCTGGACTACCTCTGCGAGGTGGGCGTGGGCCCCCAGCGCGGGCAGAGGGGAGGAAGCTAGAACCCAGGGCCAAGGCCTGCGCTGGCCACCTCCCCCGCTGCCTGCCCCCAGGTGTTCCGCGACAGGGTCCTGGGATACTTCTGGAACCGGAGGCGCTCCCAGAAGCACTCCAGCACCAATCTGGTAACAGCCCCTCTTCCTCCCCTGCCGCCTCCCCCTGGGAGCTCCCCCCACCCCAAGCCTAGAACACCCTCCCTTCCCAGCTGGGCAAGAAGAGTGGCAGGGAGGGGCGGCGGCCGTCCCCTCCTCTGACCCTCTCCCTCCTCCCACAGCTTCAGGAAGGGCTGGGCAGCCATGGAAACCAAGTGCCCCGCCTCAGCTTGGGCCCCAGGTAACACGAAATGTCCCCGTAGGGCCAAGGGAGGAGGGCCAGGTGCCGTCTAGAAGGTGAAGTTCAGGTCCAGGAGGGCAGGGGCCGGGCAGGGCAGTGAGTTCTGGGCCCCCCGCGTCCCAGCACAGCGGCCTGTGTCCCGGCAGGCCTCCAACCCCCCCCTGTGCCGTCTCCCGGACCCTTTCTGCCTCCCACCGCACCTGCTACCTCGTCACGCGGCTCTAGACCCGGTGTCTGTCTTCCGGGCGGAACCCTGACACCTTGGACAAGCCCCGCCTGCACGTGACTTTGCCATCTTCACCCCAAATAAAGTTCTAGCGCATCGGCCCAAGCTGCTTCTCTTACAGACGGCCTAGCCGGGCCATGGTGGGCCAGCCCTACTCAGCCTCCCGCTGGAGGACACTGTCTGGAAAGTGGGGGGCTTCCCCATTAACCCCCAGAAGTCTCTCTGAGGGAGGAGGGCAAGAAGAGGCATCGGCCATTTGCGCCTCAGAGGGAATGAGCTGGTTGGGCTGATGCCTCCGAGAGAATGGCGCCCCGGGCGCGGGGCACAGGCAGGGAGGGGTCTGCGGCGGGACACTAACAGCTGGGGCACATGAGGGCACAGTGGCTGGGAGCGGGCTCTGACCCAGAGCCTGGCCGGAGGCAGGGAGCAGGCAGGGAGGCGACAGAGACGCTTGTCCAAGAGCACAAGCTGTTGTCCTGCCGGAGATTGTGACTCTTCTCCTCGCATTTGGGACCAAGCTCCAGCCTGCGCCATCTCTATGGGAACAGCTCCTGTTTCCCCAAACTCCCCACAACAGCAAAGCCCCCAGTTTGAGGCAGTGAGGGGGGCCGTCCTTCCTACTTCTACCGGGAAGGACACATCCCGCCCCGGCCATAGCCCACCGTCCCTGTTCTCTGCCTCTGCACCCCAGACGCTAGAAAGCTGACAGATAAGGGTGCACGGAGGGGTGGTTCTGACCCAACTACGACTTTGGGCCTCTCTCGTCGCCGTCTGCAGGCCTGGGAGCGGGGAGGATGAAGCGGGAAGAGACAGGGTTGGCATCCATAGGACATGGAGAACCACAAGGAAGGGCCAGCCCCTTTCTCCCGTTCACACACCGGCTGCCTAGTCCCTCAGGACCATCTCGGGCCCACATGAGACGGGTGCATGACGCATAGGCTGCCCTGAGTCCAGCCGGGAGGGGCGAGGGTCATAGCCTCTGGCCTCAGGCCACGTAGAGGAGCGAGGCCGGACGGACCGGCTGGGCCGAGTCCCAGCTGGAAGCAGGGTTGCACAGGGGGGGGAAGTGGAGCACAGACCCCCGCCCAAGCCCACTCCCCCAGGCCGCCCACCACCACACCAGCGAGACTGTGGGAAAGGAGCCAATTTATGAAATTAAATAAAGTCTGTGGAGGGAGACAGAAGCCGGGCGAGGGTGCCTCCACCCCGGCGGGCCCAGCACAGCTGGGGCTCAGCACACCGTGCGTCCTTGCTTTTCCTCCCCTCGCGGGAGGGGGCTGGAAGCGGCCAGGCCCCGGCCTGGAGGCCGGGTGCCAGGGGCTTAGGGGGGGCAGAAGTCGGAGAAGTAGGGGTGCTGCAGGGCCTCCTCTGCTGAGATGCGCTGGACGGGGTTGCACTTCAGGAGGTTCTGGAGGCACGGAGCGAAGGCGAGGCAGGGTCAGGCGGGACCAGCTGCCCGGAGCCCCACCTCCCCGAGTCCCTCTGGGCAAGTGTCCCGACCACCCTCTGCCCCCGCCATTGGTTACCTGCAGCAGGTCCCTGCCTGTGGCATTGAGCTTGGGGACGACGTTCACCAGAGACGTTGTGGCTGGGTACATCGGGTAGGGCTGCGGGGACAGGGAGAGTCAGACCGGGGGTGTGCGGCATGGAGGCCGCTCGGGCTGAGAAACAAGGGGGGCCGCTGATGAACCACGACCCCGCCCCCGCCTGTCGCACCTTGTAGTCTGGCAGCTTGGTCATGGCGGGCCACTGCTCCTCGGTGGGTGTCCCCAGCAGTGTGTCCAGAGGGTCAAGGATCACTCAGTGCAAAGGTCAGGGTGTGGGGCTCTTCTCCTCCCAGGAAGGCTCCCTCCGTTTATCCCCCAGGTCACAGCTGAAGGAGCCCCGGGACACAGGACCCTCCTCCTCAGTCCCACTCGCGTGGTGGTTACCATGGGCCTGGCGCTACGGACACACACGTGAGCTGCCGTGCCTACACCCTCACGTCCCGGGCCCGGGGCCCGGCCAGCCTTCCCCGACTCCCACAGATCCTCCTGCCGCCGCTTTGGCCCCTCGCTCCAAGGAGTCCTCTCCCAGCTGGAGGAGCGCCCTCTTGGCTCCCTCCTGCAGGGGTCCCTCCTTGTCTGCATGTCACTCTCTCTCCTGCTGGCTGCACGCTGCCGGGCTGTGACCACCCTGCTCTGCCCTCCGTCCCCTGACCCTCAGAAGCCGGCAGCCCCTTGCATGCGGGCCCCGCCCACGCCACCCTCACCCCGTGTACCCTGAGCTCCATGGCCTGTTACTCCCCTTCCAGAGCGCCCGGCAGAAGGGGCACGGAAGGATATCGGAAGATCCTCTTCAGCTGGTCGTCCACATCATTGCCGGGGAACAGGGGCCGCCCCGCGTTCGCCAGCTCTGGGAGAAAGGAGGGGAGAGGAGCGGATGCACGAAGCCCCCCTCAGCCCGGTGACACCCCATTCCCCGGGCCCTGCCTCTAGCCCCAGAGGGGACCCTCCCAACCCTATCTGTCAGCTCAAATGCAAGGGGAAGCGCCCTGCAGACCCCCAGCATGTTACCTGCAAAGATGCAGCCGGCTGACCACATGTCAATGGACGTGGAGTACAGCTTGGCCCCAAAGAGGACATCCGGTGGGCGGTACCACAGTGTGACCACCTGGAAAAGACCCCACCCGCAGGGACCCCCCACTTAGAGGGCTGGGAGGAGGAGGCTCAGAGAGGAGAATATAACGTTCTGGGTCCTGGAGTAGGAGCTGAGAGACGCTTGCTGGGGAGGTCCCCCCGCACTCCGCTATCCCAGCCCCCCGGCTCACCTCCGCCGAGTAACAGCGGACGGGGATCCCAAAGGCTCGAGCCAACCCGAAATCGGCCAATTTCAGCTCCCCGTTCTGAGGGAGACGGGAGGGGCGGTGTCAAGGCCGGCTCCGTGCGCCCACATTGCGGCCCAGCCTCCACACCGTCCGGCTGTTGGCTCCATCCACCTCCCACCCCCCGCCTCCTGCCTTCTCCCTGGGAGGTGTACCCTGTTTATGAGCAGGTTCTGGGGCTTCAGGTCCCTGTGCAGCACGTTGCGGCTGTGACAAAATCCCAGGCCTTTTAGCAACTGGAAGAGGAATGACTGGGGGCGGGGCGGGAAAGAGGGCCTCAGACCACCGGGTAGCGGTCTGTGCCCAGCAGCGGCTCCCACGCCCCTCCCCACCCCCGGCTTGGCCTTGAACCCGCCTGTCTTTCAGCACCAAGCTCCATGACATGTCGTTCATTCACTACTAAGGACTGACTTTGTATTATATCAGGTATTAGAAATGAACAGTGAACGGGGGCCCTGGTCCCCACCTTCCGGGAACATATGACCTCGTGGGCCTTCCTACCTTCCCAGCCCACCCTGACCAGCCCCCCTGCGTGGCCTCGTTTGAACACGCACACCCTAACGATCACCATGCACTTCTGTTGGGCTTTATTATTATTTAGCATTTCTTCCCTTGGAACCTGGGGCACTGTGCTCAGCCCTGCGCCTGGAACAGCGCCTGGCACCCAGCAAAGCATTCAGTAAATATTTGTTGAATGAGTAACCTATCCGAATCTCCTTTTCTCATCTCTCAGGCGTAAATCGTATCGTTGAGAACAGAGCATTGCTGTCAGGTCAAAGGGAGCATGGGAACATGCTTCTGGAGAAACAGGATTCCATCATCCCGGGCACCCGGAGCGTCCCTGGGTCAGGGCCTGTGCTTGGCGCTCGGCGAGCAGGCGCACCAAGCACACCCCCCAGCCCCGGCCTCCGTGCGCCCCCAGAACGCCAGTCTCCTCACCTTCACGATTTCAGGATCTAAGTCACCATTGCAGCTGTCAAAGTATTTCTTGAGGTCCTGAAAAGGGGTGAGGGTGGGGCAATGGGACCGAGGGGAACCTCAGTCTGGGCCGCTGTACCTTCCCAAGGCTACCATCGCCCACGTGCCCCTTTTACCTGATCACAGAACTCAAAAACCAAAGTCAGCTTCTTGTCGCTATGCAGGACGTCATGAAGCCTGGGAAAAAGAGAAGGGTCAGCCAGGCAGATCCACAAGTGTGCCCCCGAGCACCCACGGCCAGCCCAGCGCCTCTCTGAAGCCCCCACCGCCTCCGACGGGCCACACAGGCAAGGAGGGCCCTGCAGGTCTACACACCTGACGATGTTCTTGTGCTTCAGCTCTTTGAGGAGGCAGATTTCCCGTAGGGCAGAACTCGGCACCCCCTACACACGGGAGGGGGCCGGGCGGGCAACGGTCACTTCCCACCCCGCCTAGGCCCTTGACCACCGCACCCCCCCGCAGCCCCCAGCTCAGATGCCCAGTCCTACCTCATCATCGTCATCCAGCCTCACCCGTTTCAGAGCCACGATCTCGTGTGTCTCCCGGTTTTTGGCCTTGAACACTGTCCCATAGGTGCCTGGAGAAAGGGGTGAGGGAAAGGATGAGGCACCCTTCTCCACTCCAAGAAGCCCCTCGCGGGAGGGGGGACGCCATGGGAGGGTGTCATTTTTTGGTGCCTGGAGGAGTAAGGGAAGGGAATCAGGGTGAAGGCCGGGCGCGGCAGAGCTTTGTGAGTGAGGACGTGGCGGTGTGTGTGGGGGGGCTGCAGAGGCTCCCCGGGGGAGGCAGCAGGGAGAGGCTGGGGCTGCCAGGGAGGATCTACAATGAAGACGGTACTTTGAGGGGCCGGAAATAGTGAGCAGGGGCCTGGGAGACGAATGGGGGCTCGCAGGAATGTTGAGACTGGACGCCTGCTGCCAGAACGGAGGCTGGGGGCGGGCGGGGTTCTGCAAGCGGGTGTGAGGCTGGGGGTAGGAAATGCAGGAAATGCCGCGGCCCAGAGATCTGGCCTGCGGGGCGTGCTAAATCTGGGAGGGGGCGTCTGCGGGGAATGCGAACGGGAGGATTGGTGTCTGCACGGGAGTGCTGAGCTCCAGGCCGGGGCTGCAGCAAGCGCTGAGGTCGGAGTCTGTGGGCATTGCTGATGGTAGAGGAGCCAGAGATGCAAGGACTGCAGAAGAAGATCTTGCAAGAACATCTCGTGGTCCCATTACCTTCCCCAATCTTCTCCAGTTTCTCGTATTTCTGCATCGCGGCAGCCGCGGGGACCCCCTGCGGGCCCTCGGTTCTAATACTTCGGCCCCGGAGATGCAGAGGAGGCGGCACCCCAGCTCCGGCCCTGCCCCGCCCTCCTGCCTGCGCATGAGCTTCTGGAGCTTGTAGTCCTAAAACGGCCAGGTTCCCCAGTAATGCTTGGGACCCTCGACAACAAGAAGACTACAACCCCCAGCAGGCTGCGCTCAGGCTCTCTGCAGCCCTCGCTTCCCGGGGCTCCGGTTCCACCGCGAAGGCGAACCCAGGACTTCAAGTCCCAGGAAGCATCACGTGTCCGCTTTCCTAGCGCCCGGGCCTAGCGCCGCGGCTCCCAGTGTGCTCCGCTCTTACTACTTTCCGTGTCTATCACCTTTTTATGAAAAAGGGCTCTCCGGGACTACACATTCCAGAATGCGTCAGGGGTGGGGGTGGGGCGCTCTCTGAGGTTTGGGGTTTGGCGGCCTGCATCCCGGGCCTAGGTGGCCCGGCTCTGACCGGGCTGATCGTGTTGAGGTCCCAACGACCTCGTGACACAATCTTAAGACGGGTTTCCAGCTCTCCCCAGGCCATCTGGTGACTCCAGGGTTGATTAGGAAATGACTCCGGAACATGTCTTTCTGATAAGGATTTTACGGGGACCCTATGGACACAAGGCTGGGCAGAGAGGCAGGTGTGCTCCTTTTGCAACTGGATTTAACACACGTCAGAGGCCATTCTTTTCTTTGGGGCCCTTTGGTCAGCTGGGAGCCCACCCCACTCCGCTGGCTCTCTTCACTCTGACATCTTGAAGCAGACTAGCAAGAGCACTGAGGGTCGTCTTCCGGCCCCCTCGCCCCCCATCCCATGCCAGTCCCCAGAGTGTGAGCCTACTAGTCAGCCAGGGTGTGGCTGAGGGCTGGAAGATCGGTTACCGCCCTCAACAGACAGAAGCACAGACAGATGGCTACACTTGTAGCAGCCTTGACCTCATCCCTTAAGGAGTTGATTATAGATTTGCTTGCGCTGCTCTCTAATTGTCTCATGATTGCATTTCTGAGGGCTGTAAATGGGAGGAAAAACGGTCCCAACAGCACATGGCACAGGAACTAGAGTTGGTGCTAACCATTCGTTAATCAACTCGTTTATATCTGAACGTTTTCTGCATTCACGACTCTGTCCTTCACCCAGTGGCAGACTATAGAAAAGAAGCAAAAAGTATAAACCTTATCTGGGAGAATTTATATTTCAGTTGGGGAAACCAGAAGTACACGGATTTTCAAATGACAGGTGATGACTATGACTTGGGTTCAAGGAGGGAGGGAGGTCACCGCAGGAATCTCGCTGAGGCAGAAGTTCCCCAACCCCCCACCCGTTACATTGGGAGAGGCGAGGCCAGCTCAGGGTACTGGGCATCCAACCTGCAGCCGGCAGCACCTCTCAGTCCTGGCCCCGCCCCGCCCCGCCCTGCCCTATCCCCCAGGCAAAGACAAGGGCTCTCTACGAGGTACTGGGATTACTGGAAAGGGTGGGGACGGCGCGTACGAGAGAATCCTGACCCGGATACATTTGTATTTCAACTTTCTCCGTCCCGAATTTCATGATCATCTTTGTGCCTCCGCTTTTATCCCTGGGATTCCCAGCGTAAGGTGGGCTCCTTTCCGCCCAGAGGTGCCTAAATGGGGCCAAGAGACGGCGTCCCCCGGGCGCTCGAGCCCCGTGCGGGGAAGCCGGGGCGGCGGCCTCCCGGACGCGGGGCTCTGGTGCCTGGCGGTGCCTGGAAACGCGCTTCCGCTCGCGGGTCTGGGCCGCTGCTCCCCGCCTCCCCACCCGCCGGGGCCGCGCACGGTGCGCCGGGGGGGCGCGCACGCAGGGGGCTGGCCTGCTCGCCGCGCGGGGGAAAGTTGAGTTGGGAGAAGTTGGGAGCGGCGGGGGCGCGCCCCGAGGTGGGCACTGGGGAGTCGTCGGGAGCGTACGGAGGCGCGGGAGAAGGGGGAGAAACCCCAAGACCCCCGGGACACGAAGTCCAGAGCAAGCGGGTGAGCGGAGAGGTGGCGGCGGGGGAGGGCCAGGGCCGCGGACGGAGGAAGGGAGGAGGGGAAGGAGGGGGGAACTCAGGACTTGGAGTCGGGAGGGAGTGGAAGTGAAGGGAAGGGCGGAGACTGGGGCTAGGGAAAGCGAGATCTAGGGAGAAGGATGGGGAGGCGAGGGAAGTGCTGGTCGGGAGCGGGATCCGGGGTACGCTACTTAGAATTCACCTAAGGCAAGGGTGCCGCGCCCCCTGCCACCAGGAGGGGGTAGTCTCCGGGAGGCGCCGCCGGCCCTCCCAACTCCTGAGCGGGCTCCAAACGGCACCTCTCCCTTGCGACCCCGTACTCTTATCTTTCAGGCGTCCTGTTCTGGGCGTCGAACCTGGGGGTTGCGCGGGGCCTTCTCCCCCCACCTCCGGGTTGAGAGAGCCGAGAAGGGGGGGGGGTGGGGGACAGGTAAGACCAAGGGGTCGGGCAGAAGAGGGAGCAGCTGGGGGGGGGGGCGTGGAAAAGAGGAGCCCCGAGAGTTGGACCTGGCCTGTCTGGGAGGGGAGCTCCGCGCTGGGTTGGGGGGGGCGGTGCTGCCTGAAATCCAGGGTCCACTTGCCGTTTTCCTTCCGCGCCTCACCGCCGCCAACCCCACCTCGAAGAGCTATGGAATGTGCGAATTCACTTGGGGAATGCCCAAGTGGCGGTCCGGGGGGCTAATCCCTTGGGCCGGGGGAAAGATGCTAATCCCTCGGGCCGGTCGGGGCTGGTCCCCGGAATGTGTCCCCACCCCGGATTATCGGCACCGATGCTCTGGACAGAAGCTGCTTTGTGTTCTAGGACGGCGGGGAGGGGGCGGGAGGGGTGTTAAAGGGATGATGGAGGAACACATTGAGTGAGAACACAGCCTGGAGGTGAGAGGGGGGCACCTGCAGGTGCTCGGGGCGCTCCACGGGCTTTGCCAACCAGGGTCCCACCCCCAGTGCCCTTCTCTCCCCACTACGAGACGTGCCCTGGCTGAAGTCCTGCTGGGGGATGTGGAGAGAGCCGTCAGCTGGGTTGGAGTGCTTGCCAGGAATGTGTCGCTCCAGGCTCCCCATCCTGGACTGGCCCCTCACCCCCACCCAGAACTATTTTGTTTGACCCTCCACTGGCTTGTCTTACCCTCAAGGGAGCCCTAAGTTGGGCAACCCTGAGCCTCCCCAATAACATCCTGAGGCATTTCAGTACTGTCACCTTCGGAGAGCCTTGGGCGCTCCCCTGCGCTTCCCCCACTGTGAGTGGGCACCCGATGTGCACTGGTCAGGTTCCCTAACTGCGACTCACCCCCAGACACCCCTACAGTCACAGTCACAGTCAGGCGGGCGTCAGCCCTGCCACTCAAACTTTCCTGGCCTGAGGGGAGGGGTGGGGGAAGGGCACCAGGACAGCCCCTGAAGGCAGAACCAACCTCCCACACTCCTCCAGGTTCGTCACGTGCCCCCCCCCCCCCCCCCAGTATAAAGCTGTGCCCGGCCTGTGCCCGCTGTCCTTCCCTCCCACTGAGTGAGTGGAGCGGGGCTCCTGCCCTTCCCCCAGGGAGCCTGCAGCCCTCCCGCCAGGGGAGGGGGCGCCGTCCTGCTCCTCCTCCCCGCCCTGGGCCGGCTCCTCTGACCCACTTGCTTGCCCTGTTGGACTCTCTCCAGAGTTCTTTCTCCCTTCCTTCCTCCCCACGTCCCTGCTCCAGGGGCATCGCACGCTCCCCAGCACCCCCCTCCCTGGTCTCAGCCCACCTCCGCCTGCCTCCACCCGGTCGCTGCTCCCGTTTCTGGCTCAGCCTGTCCTTCCCCTCTCTCCCTCCTCTGTCTCACCCTCCCCCCCCCACGCCCACATCCATCGCGCGGCTTTCTCTCCAGGTCTGAGCCCCTCCTCCTCTGGCGGCCTCTCCCACCTCCTGCTTTCTACCCCTCACTCTTTCGGCCCTCGGCCCTGAGTGGCCCCAGTCCTCGCCAGTCTTTCTCTCTATTCGTCTTTTTTCCTATAAAGAACTCCTCTCTTTGGTCTTGCCGCCTCAGGGCCACCCTGAGGCCCTTCGTCCCAGCCCCGCTGGGAGACTCCTCGAGGCCCGCCGGCGGAAAGCCCCGCATCCTGTCCTCTCCTGCCTGGGCTGGACGAAGGGCTGCAGGATGCCCCGGGCACCCCCGTCGCCCTCGCCCTGCTGCTCTCACCGGTGATCTCCGTCCTCTCCCCCGCCCAGGTTATGCCGCCGCCTTGTTGCCCTGAAAGCCGCAGCGACAGTGAAAAGGGCTAAGATTTGGCCATGACCAGCGCCCCCCGGCGCCCCGCCTCGGGCGCAGATTCTTTCCGAACTGTGAGTATTGCCGCCGGAGTCAGCCACCCTACTGTCCCGCCTCACTCCACAGGTGCTCCGCTGAGGGTTCCCATCAGGTGTGTGTGTGTGTGTGTGTGTAGCCTCGGGAGCGAGGGGAACCTGTGAGGGATCCCTGAGGAGCGCTGCCATCCGTCTCCCAACCTTGGGGGGGCGGGCAGGGGTCTGAGATGGGTATTGGTGGCGGTGGTGGGCAGTTCGTGGGGCTTCTAGCTCTGGGGAGGGAGTTCAGGATGTTGACTGAAGACCCGGATGGTAGCGTAAGTGAGAAGAATTTGGGGACGCTGGATCTACCACCTGGCTGGACACCCCCCTCCCCCAAGCCCTCACCCCCGTCGCCGCCCCCCCTTAGAGAAGGCGTCAGTCAGTGCTCAGTGGTTCTGGGCGGAGCTCACTAGCCAGTGACTGCCCCTGGCCCCGCCCCGCCCCCACGTGCTCCCCAGTTCCGCCCCTCCCACCCCACGTGGTTTCTGCCCCACGTGGCCCCCTCTGGATTTTCCTGGGAAGTCTAATGATTAACCCTGAGTGCCACAATCAGCCCGTTATTGGTCACTTTGGCCCAGCGGGCACGTGACCCAGAAGGGGCGCAGGCCGGTCCCTTCCCCCTCCTTCCCAAGTTCACCCCTGCCTGCCATGGACTTCCTCCTGCGCCCTCAGGTGCGAGGGGTTCCTGACGGCTGCCCGCCCCCGCCCCCCCAGCGCCTCCTGC